AATGGACCGAAACGTCTTATCTCACCGCCAATTTACATTACTACTTTCTCCTACACCTTTACACCCGCCATCTGCACTTCCAGGGTGAACTGAAAGCTACAGTCTGCTTGAGGAGCTGTATAGATATGGGAGCTGCCCAAAATTGTGTAGATTTACGGCGATTCTCCTTGGTTTAGAAGTCGGGCCCTGCGCTGAAATTTGCACGAGCTGTACTGCATTCAACATGTTACTCATGTTTCTAGTTTGGTTTTTTTTCTCACTTTTATGCATTTTGTGCTGTGTAACAGCAGTACAAAACGCATATTGTCATGGGATTGTCTGTGTGTGTGTGTGTGTCCGCAGCAACTTGTCCGCAGCTTTCAACTCGGGGACCACAAAAGCTAGGGAGCTGAAAATTTGAGGTAACGTCCCCCACTCACGTGTGACCCCCGCAAATTTAAATTCAGCTTCCCCGTGCCCGCGGGTAACACGTACGGCTCCGTGAAAGTTTTTTACGGGTAAGTTAATATCTCGGGAACTATGAAGTCTAGGAGGCTGAAATTTTAGGTTGATGACCCTCTGCCCACGCTCAACCCTGCCCATTCAAATTCAGCGTTCTCGCGCTCTCGGGTACCACCTACGTTTTGGCGGGTAAACTATTAACTCGGGAAACATGGGATCGATGGGCTGAATTGCACAAAACGCATGATCGCACCGGCTAGTCTGGTGAGCGTTGCTGTTTATATCTTTTTGTTATTATCGGCGGCATATTCCTTTTTTTTCTTTTTTTTTTTTTTTATCTAAGAAAATAATTTCCAGAGGCAAGTCTCACAGATTTTTTTCTCTGGAAATGCAATTTAATCCTCTTTCGCCTTCCCTTTGAACGTTGTACGGCTCCCTTTCAGCTTTTTCGTTGGTATCGATAATCCCTTTCACTTTTTCCGTAGTGATAGCGTTGCTAACATTTCTCTCTTCTCGTTGGCATCACTTTTCGTTGGCTCCGATTTCTCACTGGTACTTATACTCCCTTCTTTCCGTCCTTTTCCATTTTTGTGGTCCACCATTGCCAGCCTAAAGCTGAAATTTTAAGGGAGTGTTCCCAATTCATAAAAAATCGCTAACTTGAGATGCAGGAAAGCTAGAAAGCTGAAATTTTAAGGGAATGTTCCCAGTTCATAAAAAATCGCTAACTTTGGATGCAGAAAAGCTAGAAAGCTGAAATTTTAAGAGAATGTTCCCAATTCATATTCATGGTCGTAGCACTATTTCCCTTCCACTTTTATATTAATTTTAGCGAATTACTCCTGTTCTACTTCTTCGTTGTTAATATCACTACTTCCATTGCTTTTTTTTGATTTTTTTCGTTGCTTTTATATTTTTTTTATTTTTTTTTTGTTTTTTCTTCCTTTGTCTTTCGATTTTCATTTCATTTTTATTTTTTTTTTTTTGCAAGTTACAGCTACATCCTCTCAATTCTGGTCAGACATTACTCTTTTCGGCATATATTTCCTAATTTCTTGTGATTTTTTTTTTTTAATATTTTAATTGTTACCTTGCTTCACAATATTCAGGTAGGAATTTTGAGGGCGCAGTATAAAAGGGAAACTAAAGGAATCCAAACTTTTCCTTCTCTTGTCACGCATGTAATTTTTACCTAGATTTTTTTGAAAGAAACCGAAGAAATCGAAGCCTTTTTTTTGTCGCGCATATGATTTTTACCCTTTGTCTGTATCGTTTCAGGAATACCAAGTGGTATCGGGAAATTATTGCAGCTGCAAGTGCTCTATTTATCTTACAATCGCCTTGAGCTCATACCAGAAGGTGTAAGCCGTTGTGTTCGATTGCAACGTCTGAAATTGGATAATAATAGGTTGATTACGTTGCCCGATTCGATCCATCTTTTGCCGGATTTGAAACAGCTCGATTTGCACAAGTTTGTTTTTGGTGCTTCCGGATTTGCGCTATTTCGCGTGTTTTCATGAAATTTTTGAGAAAAAAAAGGCGTTATGGACCGGACCACGTTCATCTGTTACCACCAGTTACTCTTTTTTATGCGTTTTGTGCTGCGCAACAGCAGTACAAAACGCATATTGTCACAGGGTTGTCTATGTGTGTGTGTGTGTCCGCAGCAAATTGTCCGCAACTTTCAACTCGGGAATCACAAAAGCTAGAAA